ATTATGATTCACTATTCATTCATAGAACTTTACATAACTATAAGTAAAACCATTGAATATGTAGCCTATATCTACAGACGTATATTTAGTCAATGATACAACTTAAGGGTTTGGTTGCAGAGTTATTTTTATTACAAGTCAATGTTAGCAACGTTGTGTTAGGCAAATAAAATTAAACCAGGGACTATATTTAACAATTAACTCGAAAGATTAAAGTTATTTAACTAAAAAAACTTTTTTTTAAATTTAGACTGATAACACGAATGTTGTACGTTGGTAATATAATAACATTGTCTATTGAAAAGATAAATTATATAGTCCTAGAACATAAGGTAAGCTTAGGCCTACTTGAACTTTTACTTAAAGGTAAAATTGAAAACGAAGGTTCGCTATGTTTGGTTAATTTTATTTATGTTTTACATATTTAGGTAGTTTTTTAACAGCTTGAATTCGAATCCTATATTGGCTGCACTGTACTGGAACCAAGGCCACACTAAAAAAACACGAGTGAACTTTAATCGACGATCAGTGAATCAGAATATGACGTCACTGGTATCGAATGGATCCGATACTCACGGTATCGATACTTTAGTTCCGATACTGAGCCGGTATCGATACTTTTTTGCGATACGGTATCGATACCAAATATCGGAAAGACAGTGGTATCGCAACATCCCTATTAAAACCCATTAAAAAGTAAAAGCTTTTATCTCGGCAAAGATCACGCTCACAAGATTAACAGCTTTTGCCGCGATTGCGAATATCGACGAGAACATTTCCCCGCGGGTGAAGATGATGGTGTGTTCGCGGCCGCAGGAGATTTTCAATATTTTGATGTGATTGCGGAAAGCGATAATGATGTCCACACAACCGCAGGAGACATTCAGGATTTTGCTACTACAGTGGAAGACGATTTAAATGTTTCCTTGACCTCAAAATATTCTAGATTATGATGTTATCGTAGAAGACGATGATGACGTTTCTTATTCCACAAGAGATATATCTAGGGTTTTGCCGGAAAAAAATGATGTTTCCTTCACTGCGGGTGATATTAGGGATTGGGCTGCAAACATGGGAGACGATGATGTCCTAGATTTGGTTGCAAGCTCGGTAGACTATGATAATGTTTCCATGACTACGGGAATTATTCACTGTTTTGCCCCGATCATGGAAGACGATGATGACGCCTCGGTGCCTCGGAAAATGTCATGCTAAGCAAAATTGCACTTTTTTTTGCCGGAAATACCTGTGATAATGTTTTTAAAGATTATTGGTAGGGCCCGGTGAACAAACTTGCGTGGGAGCCTGCGGGCTCTTAGCGCCACTGATGTTTTGCATACAGAATTTCAAAATGTTTTTCATCCATCTTAAGAAGATAAAATCCCAATTTCGTATTAACTTTTTTTTTGGAATCGCACACACATTACATGTATGATAGGTTGAAATAAACAAAATGCCCAATTTGAGATGCAACTCACAAAATGCCATACATACCATGGCAGTCCACTGATTTTACGTGATCCTCTTTACCAACTTGCATTGCAAATTACCATGATAACATTGTCGCCGATAGGTGATGACACTGTCAGATTAAGCAAGGAAACGTACTAGCTGTAGTTCACAATTTTTCTCTAAGGTTAATAGCTTTAATATTTAATATTTAATTACATAGGTACATAGTTGTGAGTAGAAGTTTATAGTTCGGTTTGTTTATCTTGTGTCCCATATATTGGCCACATAGCACAAAGGGTTAAATCGCTATTATTTCGAAATAAATAAACATTCATATACATTGTAATAATTATATACAGTTTTATTGACAAAATTACATGGAAATGCCACAAAAATTATATTTCCTCTTTAATACTTTTAAAACTAAGTACAAAAAAATATACTGTACGGTAAACCACTTGTACAAAAAATTAAGTACATACACGAAAATTATAATTAAAAAAATTAGGTATTTGTGCAAATAAGCTGAAGCAAGTATTTTCCAGGATTTTATTTAGTTATTTTTGGTAAAAATTTGTAAGTGCCTTGTATCCACACTTCTATAATTAAATTGAATGTATTAATTAAATTTCTATGAGTTTTATGTTGCGCATAAAGTCAGTGTAGTGAAACAGTTTCATTTAAAGGTTGCTAATATTATACAATTAAAATTCCATTGTTATTTATTACAGTACTTGCAAACTGGGAAAATAATATGCATTTCTTATCAAACAGTAAAAAAAATACCTTTATGTAAATGGAAATAAAAGTATTTAACAATAAAACTAATTTTCTAATCTTTATAAGTTAACCTAAAATCTTATAAACAATTTTGATTCATAAATAGACAGACTTTTTGGGTGTCGAGAATTCCTTTTTTTAAACGGATGTTGCTTCTTCCAGAATGTAGCATTAGTTCTAATGCGAAATAAGTGTGGACATAATAGAGTGGCTAAGATTTTATATACTGATTAAACCAATATTTCACTGAATATTTTGATTTTTTGCATCATTGTAAGATCAAAATTTTCTAGAATATACAATCAAAAGATGTAGAATTGGTGTCACAATTCTTTTTAGTTAACAATTTTAAACTATATTTTATTGAAATTATTAAACAAAATACAAAAAGTCTGGAATATTATTATTGTTGGCATGAAAATAAGAGATATTGCTTTGCAATCACACACATTTAATTACTAACTGTCAATAATTTCAACATTTGTTAAGTTGTTTTAACGTTTTTCGGAGGTAAATAAGAGTATAAGGTGTTTAAGAGTATAAGAGACATAAAAAGATAAATTATAAGTTTTTAGTTGTGGAATTTTAAAATATGCAAACTGAAATAAAAACTTATAAAATAAGTCATGTTTCCTTGTATCTTTTTATAACTAAAGCATTTTAAAAAAATATAAAAATGCAGAATTCCCATAAAATATTACATTTAAAAAAGTGTGAGCAATTTATAAAAGTGAGCTGAGAGGCCATGTGTATTTTGACAATTAAAAATTTAGAAGTTTACAAATTATGTTAAATATGTAACAAAGAGCTGAAGAAAAACTATAAACTATACAAGAAAATAATATTTACAAAAAGAATACTGACGATATAATAACATTTACCATATATATACAAAATCATGTAATATTTGACAAATTTAAGTTAGAGTGAGCAAGCTTACTATGACATTTAACCGAATGGAATTAAAAGGTTTCACTAGATCTGGTTTTGGGTTTGAAAGCGCAAATTAAATGCTACATGTTGTTTGTTGTGGTTAAAAATTACTTAGGAAATAAGTATTTAAATTCTTGATGTAACAAAAACTATTAAAACTGAACTCAAAATTTCAAGCAATATTTTTTGTGTTTGAAAGATAACAATCAGCTTCTTTCACAGTTAATCCACTTCTGATACCTTTTAACTTTTAACATAATTACTACACACGATTTCTTTGGCTTTTGTTATCTTTAAAACACAGCTCTGTATAGTATCTGTAGACACTTAATTATTCATTATTACTACATCCAAGTAATTTGCCTGAAGATAAGGTGGGGGTTTTTAAGGACAGTCAATTTAAGCAGTGATTATACCCTGAATAACAAACTCAAACTAGCGACATTCAATTTGTAAACTTTAACATATAAGCTTAAACTTAATGGATGTAAAACGTAAAATGTATAAACTATTGTTACACTTACAGTATACTGTCTAAAATACTGTGCAGTTGTTTAGAATAAAATAAACCTTTCTTATCCGACCAAACAACATAGACTTCAATTAATTTTGAATTACAGTTTTGAGTAACCTGGCATTAGATTAATATTTATAACTAGTAAAAAGGAAAACTCGCTATTGTTTGTCTTAGACATTCCAGTTGAATTGATATGGGTTTTTACTTTTTGGCTGATTCTATTTCACTACTTGTTTACAATGTATGCCAGAGGATGAAATTGCTTTTCCAGATCATTACACAATTTTTCCCAAGGTTTTCCTAAAGTATTGACACTGTAACTGAATCCATTAATTGGAAAGCAGCCTTTTTTGGCAAATTTTAGTAGTGAAGTCAGTAGACAAGTTCTGTATCTACAATATTCATTTCGCTGGTCAAAGATAAGACGGATTTGACTGAAATGAAAACATTGAAAATAAACAAAGCTTTAAGTACCACTTATGTATCTCTGTGGTACACACATCTGTAAAATATAAATATCACATCAACAACTGATTAATAAATTCTATCGTAAGTTTAAGTGGATTCGTTACGTTACAAATAAAAACTTAAATCCTAGTTATTAGCGAACTAAATAAAATATTTATACATTTTAAATCCAACAGAGTTTCCTTATAAAAAATATACAATAGTTTACATTATCACAAATTACTTTAATACACCAAACACTAATAACAAAATTGTATTTAAGTACTAAATTCATTCACTAAATTGTCAATTTAAATGCTTTCCTAAACTACGAGGAATGTAGTGTATACGACATTGATGGTTTTGGTTGTATGATCATGCTTTCAGACACGGTAAGATAAACGACGTTCTTTTTTTCAAAATGTTGGCTTCAAAAGCTCTACTTTTCTTATCAAAGAAGATTCGCTAGCAGACAAGACTACATGACGATTTAGGCACCATATTTTAGATTAGAGTATTTTTCAACAATCTTAGTTAGAGGGGAATATCATTTAATTTGAAGCAAATTTTGAAAACACTCACTTAAACCCCCAATTAATATACAAATAACATTATTTTTACGTATAAATATAAAACCAACTAGAAATGAGACTGATTTGTATAGTGAAAATAAAAACTGCATATGTTTTACTTTGGCAAATTAATACATTACTGTATTTTTAAGTACCACAATTTATATAGTCGGACTTAAGACTAGGAGTATTTAGTAGTTTTAATATAGTATAAAAGTATAAGAATATACCTGGTATCTAGGTCAAAATAATTAAACTTAAATATAAATAAATGGCAGTCATAATGAAAACTAAAATAATTTAATAAGTTCAAAATTTCTAATGTATTTCTGGACCGAAAGCACCTCCAATATACATGATATGTATCTCAATTTGTTACTTATATTGTACTCTGCCAAATTCAAATTTAAGTATAGCTTAAATGGGAAGAAACTAATTTTCTGCTAGATTTGAATGAAAATATTGCAGAGCAAGCTATTGAGGTATAATGCTATAAGGTCTGGTTTAACAACTTGTTCAAATAAATAATGCATTCAAAATTTGTTCAGAACAAAACAGCTATTACAGCAGTTATTTGAAGCTTTACAACAATAAGATCGGTAACAGTAAATACCTAAAAAAAAACACATAATGCAAAAGCCACACTGAAAAGTGAATTTGGAATAGAGTACTATAATAACAACATACTAAAATTTTTAGTTAAATATCAATAGATAACAAAGTGAAAATCTTAGTTACCAACATCGTTAGATTTATCTGTTAACTCACAACATTCTCGTCTTTTACAATCTACAACTTACTGACTAAATAACAATCTGTCCTTAAGACATACAAGCCGTTGTTCAAATATAACATTTCAACTTTAAAAGTTTTATTTTTTAATTTCCATTTCATTTTATACATAACTTAGGGAATGAAATTAAGTACTTTTAAATTGTGTTGAAAAAGTAAAAGAATAGTACCTGCGCAAAACTTAAGGTAAAATCTTTTCTATTTAATTAGAAACATTTCATCAACCATACACAACTGTGAAATTTCATACCTTGGAAGCTTAAAATGAAACGATCGAGCGGAAAACCGATAACACAAGTAGCTACATGTCTAATGCCTGTAGGCCTGCCCTCACATCTGTACTTGGAAAGCTTTAACAGGTGCGGTCGTCGGCGTAGCTCCGTTCGTGGGGCTGTTGGTCAGGAAGGGATTAGTGCTGTGCTGTGATTGGCCGTTTCTCGACGCTATAGCTGCCCACTCAGCGTCAAAAGGGTCTGTTGTGCCGTTTGTATTTTGATGCGAGTAATATGATTCAGCCGACCCTGTGGATTCAAAACAAAACTTTTAGTGCTGTTGGTTAATAGTAACAATTGAAGAACATTCCAATAGACATAAGCTCTATGTTATCGTCTTATATCAAATGGTAACAGTTTAGTGCTTATAACTCAGAAAAAGGTTAAGGCATAGTTTAAACAGTAATCCATTACTTTTTTTCATTTTCTGTTTATATAGACCCATTGTCATTTTCTAGTTTTTTTGTAAGGAATTTTCAAATCCTGATCTTGTAACTATCTAATGTCGACCTTTGGCCATCATTAATGGTAGCCCGATGAAAAATGGAATCTGAGTCCAGATCCATCTTGGTTGGAATTGAACCTTTAACATTCAAATTATTTTTGCTTCACTGAATGGGCCTAAATCATGTTCCTGCTACTGCATGGAAATCACTGTCACACATGTAAACAGTACCCAAAACAGCTCATTAACACTTTAATCATTCCTGCTCTGCTAAATCCACTGAACAATAACATCTGGTAATGTATCTACAAAAGTAAATCTATGAACAAGGACCTAAATGGCATTTTATCTGTGTGTTATTATAGGTAAAATATCATAGAAGGAAAACTCTTGTGTATTAAATTTAGATGAAGAACAAAGAGGTGGTTTATAAATATTTTATTTCTGTAGTCTTTGTAAAAAAGTAAGACTTAAATTTTAGTAATTTCTGTGATTGGTAAAGTTAAGTGATTTCAGTGATCGATAGTTGCAAAGGACATACACCAAAGCATTCAACCTGTTTTAAAATACACACGTAAATAAATATACATTACAGAATCCCTACAAATGGATTATTATAAGACTAAGTGGTCAGGGTGTTTACCGAGAGAATGTGCACGAAGATGATGAGACAACATCGGTGTTCGTCTGCTCATAGCGGGGGAGTTGCCAGAGAGAGTCACTGCTGCCACCTGTCACAAGAGAAATGTTCATCAAGTTGTGGGCCATAGAACATATTTGGACAGTTTACACATTTTCTCATAGCATGATTTAACTATGACAACAATCATACTAATTAGGGGAATAATATAAAGCTAAAAGTTTGTATTATAAAGCTGAAAGTTTGTGTGTTTGTTAGTTTGTTTCAAGGATGTTGTTGTACGGATGTTTATAAAAATACATTATGTTTGTATCTTTGTTTTCCCCCAAAATAATTTCTGGCAAATGGAGTAGCCTGTTTTTGTTTTTGTTTTAGATCGGACTGGTATCTTGCTTAAGGTGTTCTGGAGAGGTTACAATTTGCAGTTAATTTATAAGGAGGGTTGTCTTCATGTGGGTGTTCACTTGTGGATTGGACAGGTGAAGTCTGATGCATGTACAGTAGACTCCCTCTTATCCGGATACCTTTTAACCAGACATCAGTTTACCGGACTAGATCGGCAGGAAGTGGGCGTTACTGAAACGACTGTTCTCGTGGGAAAGATTTGAGACCAGTGATCACGTGTATAAATACAGTGCTCTCCTAAATTTAAGACAAATACTGTATACAGTATGCATTCAAACAATCTATCTTAACGGGTTTTTGGGGGCGTCGGTTTAAAAAAAAAAAAAAAAAAAAAAAAAAAAACAGTTATACAGACTAAGAGGGAGTCTACTGTATGTTGTTTGATGATGTAGGTCCCTATGTCTGGTTTGCTGGAATGCTTTAGCAAAGAGAATTGTTTGACAGATGTGAGGTGATATTAGTGTTATTTGTTTCTTGAAAGGTCCATTTGTAACAAAATCAGCTGATAATCTCACCTTTCCTAGCCACTGGTCTGGGCGAGGCAGGTTGCGTACGGGGGGGAGTGGTGAGGCTGGCAGAGGAGGGGTGGCGGGGGGCGTCAGAGCTGTCGGGGGTGACCACACAGTGGCAGGGGTGGCGTTGTTAGTCACGTTGTTCACATTGTTGTTGTAGTTCTGTAGCTTCAGCGTGTCTATTGATGACAGGATTGAGTCATTGTGGGCGCTCATGTTCGCTTTCAAGTCTGAAAAAAATATAAATAGTTGTGTCACACCTTGCATTAATTATTAGTGAAAAAACCATTTTTATGTAGATTGACAATTTTCAGCAAACACTGTGTGATTTTATACAGTGACCAGGCCGCAGCGACTAGTGTGACCGTAACCTTAGGCCGGTTTCACACGAGCTATAAAACGCCCGACAATCGTGGAACGCCGCTTCTGACTGTTGTGGCGCGCTTGTCGCGCAAGAATCACAATCTGACGCAGAAAAGAAGAGCCCCATTCACTTAACATTGGAACGCGGCATTGCCACTCAGACAGTCAAAACAACCAGTCAACCTGTTTTTTCCTGATTTTTTTTTTTACTTTTATAACAATAAGTTATGTCTGACTTTGACACAGACCGTTTTATCGTAGAAGTAGGGTGTAGGCCAGTGTTGTGGGACCAAGAATGTAAAGATAACTCAAATAATTACTCTATGACGTCGTATCACACGAAGAAGCATTATAAAAAATAAGCCTTCTTCATCGTCCATTGTAGCACTGAACTGCACTCGTAGTCTTTCCAAGCGGACTGGTGTTTTGGTTTATTTCAGGGAGGTGCGGTATGAAATGGCGATAAACTAAAGGAAATTGCGGAATCATGCTTTTGCCATCTGAAAGGTCCCACGCGATTGACCGCTGCCAGTGGTGCGTTTCTGCCGACGATTGTGGCATGTTTGTGGCTCGTGTGAAACCGGCCTTAGACTTTTACGGTTGAGACAGGGTCTGATCCCTAGGTTTATGTGTAAGAGAGAGTACTGTAATAAAGCTAGGTTAAAATTACAATCTAAATACATATTTAACTAAATATTTTCATTTAACTTATCATTTTGATTTCCTATTATAATAACAACTCAGAAGATTATGACATACCCGGTGTGGTAGAACTGGTTGGAAACAGATTTTTTGCAACACTGTCTGACACTGGCGGCTGCTGAAACAAAAAGTAATATTGAAAAAAAAGACAAATTAACAGCTTAATGGCTACAAAAAAACCCACGGGTGGGCAAATATTTTGAGGTTCACACTTAAGTAAAGAACAATGATTGATTTGCAACCAATTAGTAGGAGTCTACTGAGAGTAGTAAAACATTTAGTGTTAAGATCCTATTCACAAATATGATCAAAGATAATTTGTGAGATAGTTGGCAAGATTTGGTACTAGTTTGGAAATGTCTGTGAATATTACTAAAATTTGACTGGTGGACTACAGCTTTAAAATACGATTCCCAACCATATATATATTTGTCAAATGTTTTCGGATGATTCGATTCTGCTTTTGGTATGAAAACGAGATATATTTATTTAAATGGGCAACAGACCAGTGGTATAGAGAATTTGGGGCTCATGAAGATGCCAAAAGAGGCCGGCCAATTACCATTACCATCTTAATAATAATAAAAAAAAAACTATGTATTTTTAATTCAAATTATAGAACTTTATAATCTTGTGCTCACCTCCCCAAACAAAACACTGAATTTAGGCTAATGCATGCTTAATAAATAATCTGTTTTTGTTTGCTTGGCAGCAGATTTGTCACTATACCATTACCATTATGTTAGGTTGAGAATCGTTGTTAGGGACAAGAGAGGGGGGAGTAATCTTTGGACCCAGTAAACTTTTAAAATTAATTGTGTAATGGCTGACTGCAGCTGTGAGCAAGAACGTCGTCCCATAAGATGAGTGCAATAATATTTTATGTTTTGTTATAACTAGCAAATAGCCTCAGTATAACATGTAGTGCATTCCACTTTTTATTAACAAAGTTGTACAAGTTGCAGCACTAAAAGAGTAACAGGCTAACAGGTCCTTGATAATAACTACTGCAGGGGGAATCTATGACAAAAGGGCTGGATACGCCTACCAAAAATAATTAGTTTAGAAAAATAGATTATTTCAGAAAAGAAGTGGTAAATGGTTTAGTGAATGCTAAACAAACTACAACCTCAGGTCACAAAAGAGCAAAGAAAAGTGCAGCTGGTGCAAAAATATCCCTTGCACTTACATCACCTTACACTAAGCAATTCAAGATTACATGATGATGCAATGCAGTGAATTCCGTTACCAAAAAAACTCTCGCGCCAGCAGTCAATATTTTAACCCATTTATGCAATGTCAAAATCAGGCTTCGATAAGTGATAACTTTCAGGTTTTCTATTGGAATAATTTTTACTGAGCGTAACATTGCTCCGATAAGCACTCCTTCAAAAGGCACAGCTCCGAAAACAATACATGGTTAAGGTCCTGCTGCAAAAGGAATGAAAGGATAAAGCACTGCTCCCAAAAGGATATGGCCATGGAAGGCACTGCTCCGAAAAAGGATATGACCATGGCAGGCATTGCTTTGAAAAGAATATGACTAATGCAGGCACTGCTCCAAAATGGATACCATACAACTGAGGCAGGCACTTCACCGAAAAGAATAAGGCCCCGGCCACACGAGGCGGTTTAACCGCGCGAAGTTAAGCCGCGCGAAGTTAAGGGGTTCGACAACACATTGAATCAAATGAGAGTGGCCACACGAGGCGAAGTTTAGCCGCATGTGCGGTTGAGCCGCGACATGTCGTCCCCCGACCGCGCGAAGTTAAGCCGCGTTGGAGGGGATGACACATGCAGTCTTATGAGAGTGGCCACACGATACGGTTCGACCGCGCGGTAGCCGCGCTTATCGGAGATATTCTTCGGACATTTCCAGTGGTTTTATGAGTTTGTTTTGATTGTTTATTACCGGTTGTGTGGTGTTCAAACAATGTTTGATACATACAAACTCCGAACTATGGTTTCGCATGTGCACGTAAAAGGTTTGGAACACAAAAAATGGGTTTTCTGTTATGAAGGGATGGATCAAATGATTTATTTAATATTTGGTTCCAGATCACCACAAGCTACTAATACACAAACTAACATAAGTGTTTTGTCCATGACTAAAAAGAGTGGACTGAACTATTTAACAGAGTACTGATACTGGGAAAACCCAACAGGAAGCGGTTCATCCGCCCCGTGTGGCCAGGCACTTCGCGCGGCTTAACTTCGCGCGAAGATAAGCCGCGCGGCTTAAATTCGCCTCGTGTGGCCAGGGCCTAAAAGGCCAAGGCAGGGTTGCTCTAAAAAGAATGCAACGACAAGGCAGGCACTGCAACGAAAGAAGTACAATGTCAAGGCAGGTACTGCTTCGAGAATAATGTGTTTTAAGGCATTGCACCATAGGAACGTCCAGGATCAGGCACTGTTATGAAAGACAGTACCCTAAAAATTTCTTTTAAATCAGTGGCTTTTGTAGTTATCCCATTTGGAGCAGTTCCTCGCTCAACAATTTTTGTTAGCAGTGATTATTGAATATGCTAATACAACGCACCTTGTTGAGAGAACTAAGGAAGTCATCATTGTTGGATAACATTGACAGTCCCTGAGACAGCTGTTGACACATGGCACTGACAGGGTCTGCTTTGTCACTGTGTGGTGACACTTCAGGTATGGGACTGACTGTAACATAACACAACATTATCAACCACCACTGACAAAACATAGTAACATTGACAGTCCCTGAGACAGCTGTTGACACATGGCACTGACAGGGTCTGCTTTGTCACTGTGTGGTGACACTTCAGGTATGGGACTGACTGTAACATAACACAACATTATCAACCACCACTGACAAAACATAGTAACATTGACAGTCCCTGAGACAGCTGTTGACACATGGCACTGACAGGGTCTGCTTTGTCACTGTGTGGTGACACTTCAGGTATAGGACTGACTGTAACATAACACAACATTATCAACCACCACTGACAAAACATAGTAACATTGTTACTATCACAATCATCATAAACGGAAACAAATCTCCAGTGGCCAGAAATTGTTCAACTTAAATCATCTTAGGTACTCTAATTGGCTAATAGAGTTTACTGCTAAACTACTAACAAAATGCTGCAGTTTGTTGTATTCAAATCATAAAGAATGGTTTTAAAAGAGAACTGCTTTCGAATCCTGTATTTTTTAAATCCGCCTATTTTGAATCTCTACACTTAAGTTTTCAAACGCAACAGATTAAAGGGGTTCAAGTACCACAGCGCCAGCCATCCAGTAACTTTGGGTCATTGTTCTCACTCAAGATCAATGCCATTTGCCACTCTCCTCTGACCGATGATCTCCCGACGCAAGTTTGGAAATTATTATTATTTCTTTAAAGTACAAAGCTAATATGAAATTCAGAACATTTGTTTGCAGTGAAACAAATAGGTACATCTTACATGATCATGGTACAATCGTTAACATCATCTGTGGTCCTAGGGACATCATCAGCATAGTCTCCCGCTATCATGGCAAAACTGTGAACATTACCTTGAACAATTTATTGATTATGCATCTTTGCAAACGTTTTATGGGATCGCGAAAACAAAAGCTAGGCGCGACTACATAAAAATCTTCAGAGGTAACAGCTAGTCCGTGAACATCTTCTGCCATTGCGGCAAAACCGTGATCTGCGATTGCAATGATCAATTATTACAGAAATCCGCTTATTCTGAATTCCCACTTATCCGAACCTAACAGGATTCGGCCCCAGTCGGTTCGGAAGGGTTAGACTCTACTGTATTAACTAAATGTTTGATACTCTGATTTTACATGTTATGTACAACACAAGCAATAATTGAACTAAATTTAAATGGATTTAACAAATAATCATATTTACAAAATAAATATTAAGTATCCGAATATACAAAGGTTGACTCAATCAATCAGTAACAAGCATATCTACCAATTACATACTATACAACACGAATAATAAGATAATTTATTAGGAAATACTTTAGAAAAGACGATATTCTAAATACTAATGAGATAATGGGTCAAAAACTGTTTTTTTATCAAACTCACAAAGAGCAGCCGACGGTAAAGATAATAATCTGTGTCGGCATTTAATGCCTTCTGAAATAAAGAAATAAACGTAAAAATAGCTGAATGTTTAAGCAAAATAGCACTAAAACACCTCCTTTTTCCCCAACTTCTTGAATAACAACAAATAAAGGTAAGACCAAGAAAATTTGAAAAAGTGGAATTTACAATAGGATAAAAGTAATCTTACTGGTCTATCTGATTGTTAATAAAAAGTTTAACTTCACAACTAACAATGCTCCAGATATAATAAATAACAGTTACTGAATGGTCTGAACCAAAGTGAATCAGGGAAATTCGAGAGCCTATAATATAATTTTATAAAAATAATTATTCTAGAGTCTAAATTCAAGAATCAATGTTTACAACCATATGGATACTAGACATTTTTGGATGTTACCCTCTTAAAAATTACTATTCAAAAATCTCAGTGAGAAAAAATATTTACAATATTTAATAGGCCTAGAAAATTAAATTTAAAGAGGAATTGAAGAATGCTCTTGTTATCCGCGAACACTATCCATGTTCCATGTTCTACAGTAATATGTGTTTACCATGTTCTACAGTACCTGGAGTTTTCAGATGTATAAGTGCTGGAGTTCTTGAGTCATCTACTTGCAGACTCATTGCTCGAGTTCGCTCCAAATTGCTCGGCAAGTCGCTGATCCTCAACGAGAGTTGCCGCTTAAAAGGACTCGCCTGAAAAAGTTAAAGTTTCGATAAGTAAACCAAAGCCTTCAAGTGAAATCCTATACAGGGTGAATAAAAAGTCAAGACCCCCCCCCCCTCTAATATTTTTCCACGTAAATATACAGACATATCCTTTTGGTGGTCGTGCAATCTCAGCAGGAAGTTTCATTTTATGATTTTGAAATTTTTGAGTATCCCCCCAAAAGGGGGGCAACTCAAATAATAAAAAAATATTTTAAATATTTTAAATGTAAACCCCCTTCAAGTGACACCTCATTTGGAAGAGTTTACAAAAACTTAAAGAATGGTGAAAACTAGAAGTCGCTATCTCTTCTCTTTCCAAAATGGTAGCCCGTCAAATGTTGTGGAAAATCAATGGTAAAATTGGTTCTCAATGGTAATATTGGCTACCATTTTGGATAGGGAAGAGATAGCGAACTTTGGTTTTCACCATTCTTTAAGTTTTTGAAACACTTAAAAACTAAGTGTCACTAAATGGGGGTTTACATTTAAAAATTTTGAGTGTCCCCCCAAAAGGGGGAATTTGGGGGGCAACTAAAAATGTTTTGATGTAAACCCCCATCAAGTGAAGTGACACCTCATTTTGAAGTTTTTACAAAAACTTAAAGAATGGTGAAAACCAAAGTTCGCTATCTCTTCTCTATCCAAAATGATAGCCAATATTACCATTACGAACCAATTTTACCCTTGATTTTCCACAACATTTGACGGGCTACCATTTTAGATAGAGAAGAGATAGCGACCTCTAGTTTTCACCATTCTTTAAGTTTTTGTAAACACTTCAAAATGAGGTGTCACTTTAAGGGGGTTTACATTTAAAATATTTGAGTTGCCCCCCAAATCCCCCCTTAAGGGGGGATACTCAAAAATTTCAAAATAATAAAATGAAACCTCTTGCTAAGATTGCACGACCACCAAAAGGATATCTTAGTATATTTACTTGGAAAAATATTAGAGGGGGCGGGTCTTGACTTTTTATTCACCCTGTATATTAATAGGCAAGCAAGCACGTTTCTTTAAAACCTTTTTTATCAGCTTGTGTGCTTTGCATCGCAGGGAAAATCTACGCATACTGTTAGAAAGATATTTACCTGTAGATGTGCAGAATCCCTTTATAACAAAAATAAGCAAAAAAAAAACAATAAAAATGAATTTAAAAAAAATTACCAAGGGGACTATGGGTTATAGTAACTTTTGTTAACGAAATAACAAAATATAAACATAAAATCAAAACAAATTAGTAGAAAATCCTAAAGCTTCAGCGTCATTTGAGCCCAACCACACTCCTCCAGCACATCCCTACTACCCACAGCACCATCTTAAAAGTAGGGGTACTTCCCTCCCCACTCTGTATATCTATATAAATAAAATTAGAGTTTTGTCTGGACATTGCTCAGAATCATAAACATTTAGGTTATTTTTACGTTTTATACATTAAAGAAACCTAAACAAGTCTCATCTAAATTTCTGTCTGTCTGTCTTCCTGTCTGTCACGGCCCAAGAGCCATTTTACTCGGCCTTCTCCTGAAAAACGAGAGTACCTATCAAGTTCCAAATCATTTTAATGTATTCACTGGATTGGCGAGATTGTCTTTAGCCATTAAAATATGGCGTCACTACTTTGTAAAAAAAAAAAAATAACGGACGTTTAAAAACCCAATTTTGTGCGATTTTTTGTAAAGTTTTCTCCCAATGTTTATCACATATCCATCTATGAAATAACGAACAGCTGTTCGAATCCAGATTATTTCTTCTAGCTGTCACTGATATGTTTACATTGAATGTTGTTTACAAATACCGCAACCAACTCTGATCTCGTTTTGAAAGCAAATCCAAACCAAGTAAGATTAAAAACATTTTTCCTTACATAACGGATTTAATTAATCGCAAGTGCAATAATTTGTAGGGTACCCGTAAATGAAAATAGAGATTCTTTGTGTATAGAATTGTTCTTGAGTTTTGATAACCGGGAAAAAGACCTTGAATCAGTGTTGTATATGGCTGGGAAACTTACATTTTTTAAATGGGGGTTTTCAGTCGAGACTCGGCACAAGACCAACGCGCGTCTACATGTCCATAGTAAAAATAAAAATAGGCCTACCGTGTATTTATGTTTTATTCGTCATGTGTAAAAGTGTACAGTTTGTGTATGTGTTTAAAAAACTCCAAGACGCACCTAATGGGGGAGCTCAAGACCTTATATTAGGACTGATGATGGCGATTTAATTTTGCCAAAATGCATCTCCTGTAATAGGATACATTAGGATCGACCGGCGGACACAGGTAATTTAACCTTTTATTGATTGTCATACCGATCCGGAACAACAACAAACAACATAAAACAAAGTTATGTATAATAGTTTGGCCAAAGTAGGTACTAAAGTAAAGTATCATTACATTACCTGGTTCAGCTGGTTAAAGCCGCGGAAGGAGCCTTGTCGTTGTAGCATGGCTATGTTGGCGTGGGGTCGTTCTATCGCATGAGGGTTGCTGATAGGCTTAGGTGTTGTCTGCGTCTGAGGCGCTACCGTGGCTACTGGCACTTCTACAACACATCAGGATGTCAATCAGATTTTATGGAGCAATGTACATTGATTGTTTTAAGAAGTTACATTTTACAGTAATCTGTTTCTTTTAGTCTTTAAATGTTTCACATGTGCTCACAGACTCTTATATTTGTACCTTTTCATCCCTACAAATATGAGGGCAATTTTATAAGGGCCGTTTTGCGGACATGTCCGTACCTCCCGTGTACGCCACAATGGAGCTCCTCGCCCAGTTACTTGCACCATTTTTTTACAGAATGACAACATTTACAGATCTGTAGATGTACGCTTCGCTAAGTGTTTTAAAGATTTTTGGAATTGTTGTCCCTCCCACCACGAGCAAGATAAGATCAGTAATAGGTTTTTTGATTACATGAAATTGAAGTGTCCTTTAATGGTTATTGGTTCTGGAGAAAATTTAGAAAAGTTTTAAATTTAAAATTCCCATGTTATTCTTATGGAGAATAAGTCAACTATTGTATAGTTCGGCCGCTTAGATAGCGACCTCCTCTAGCATTGGCTAGCATTAGCTCGTAGGTCGCTATCTAAGCGGCCGAACTATAGTTTGGTTGTTTATGGATATATTTTGATCAAACTTGGCAAATTTATTTATTTTATACTAAGCTAATATATTTTTTAATACACTTTATTACCCTCCCTATAGCAGCAAACCTAGGTTCTTATTTAACATAATGTTAATTAAATAGATTTAATTGAAAATCTAATCAGGTGAATGGAAATTTGCTTAGTCTGCAGGTTTGCTGCAGCAGGGGTGATTTACTTTGTGGTCAGAAGTCAGAATCCAGTGTTCCCACAAAAAACACAATTCCTTTCTAAATGAACATTTACACAGCCCATTTTTAAACACCCTAGCCCATTTCTGCACTTTTCCCCTCTATCATTGCACCAGGGCCACCTTCAGTTATTTGGTGATGAATGTCGGTATCGGATAAAATTCTTGTAATAAAAAACGTATCACTGACCTCATCTTGCACACAGCAGAGATTCAACAATTTGAACAATTTTTAACAAAGCGAAGCATAAGCGTCAGCTACAGAGCTGCAAATAGTGTCATTCTGTTCACAAATTATGCAAGAAACCAGGGAGGATTTTTGTTGCGTACAGGCAACCTACAGAGCTGTACACAAAAACGGCTCTTTCTTAAATAAATTTCCTCGTAAGTCACCTTAATGTAGCCTTATACGGTACACAATCCCTACAATTGTTATTTCTATTTAGTTGAACACTGCAGTACAGTATACAAAAATGTTGACACATAATGTATGGTTTTGAAAAACTATCCATTCTGTTTTTGATGCTTCAACATTTTGAACATTTTAGCTCCTGTACTAGCTATCCAAGTAAGAAGGAATCTACTTTCAAATCGTTCCATGGTTTGGCTCCATAATGTTAACTGTATAATAGAGCTTGTGTAATATTATTACCATGTGGTCTATTTAAAAACTGAAACTGTTTATGTGATATTTTTGTTTCAAATAAACAGCCTACTACAACATCAAATTGTCTGCTTTTCTTCACCTAATTGATAATTTACCAATCAAATTAAGCCCTTTATTTTAAGCAAATTGTATCTCCTGATACAAGAAGAAATGAAGGAGAGTTAAAAAGACAACTAGATAAATGGGCGGAGGTTATGAGAGAGAGAGGGGACTAAGAATAAGTAAGGGAAAGAGTGAAGCAATGGTTATAGGAAGAGATAGGGTGTTGGAACAACCTTTAAAAGTAGAAGGAAAACCACTTAAGTTGGTTGAAAAATTTAGATATTTAGGCACGGTGATTTCAAACGATGGAAGGATGGCGCAAGAGGTGACGGCGAGACTGGGGAAAGGTGCAGGATTTTACCAAAGTATTAGACATCTAGTCTGGGATAAGGATATACCAAAGAAAGCTAAAGTTACCATGTACAAAACATACTATATACCGACAGTTACCTATAATGCTGAAGTTTGGAACATAACAGAGAGGGAATGGAGTAGGGTTTTGGCAGTGGAGATTAAGTTTATAAGAGAATAAAAGGTAAAACAAGAGTAGACAGAATGAACAATGAAGAGCTGAGAAGAGGAATAGTTGGAGAAAGTTTGAGAGAACGAGTAGAAAAGACGAGATTGAGATCGTTTGGCCACGTAAGAAGAATGGAGAATGAAAGAATCCCGAAAAGAATGAGTGAACGTCGAATGGATGGAAGAAGACCAAGAGGACTGACTCTTTCCCAAACCCAATTCAGCTTTGATAATAGCCCAAGCAGCCTTACTTTTATGTTCTGAGTCTTTTATAAAACTAGCGTTACATGATTTCTTAGATTTATTACACACTTGTCTAAAAATCTTTCTGTACTCTTTAACATAGTTAATGAAGTCAATATTATTTGACTCTTTAGCCAATCTGCTTAGCTCTCTTTTTCTTACACTAGATATTTTAATACCTTTAGTGACCCAAGGTTTTTTTTTGTTTATGTTTTGGTTACTATAAAACTTTAGAGGAAATGCTTCCTCAAATTTACTTTGGAATTTTTGAAAAAAATTTGAACAGTTGATTTCAAAACAGTTATTAACAGATACTTCCCACTTTGTAGCTTGTATACTATTTAAAAATATATCAATATTTTTCTTGGAAAAAATTCTTTTCTTACATTTTTTATTTCTATTTTCTTTGTATGGCTTATTAATTTCACTTGAAATATTTATAAATAAAGCCCTATGGTCCGAGAGGCCCAACTCCAAATTCATTGTAACTGGAGATTTATATTTCATTTCAGATGTTAAGATGTTGTCAATACATGACTTAGATGAATTTGTAATTATGGTAGGTTGGTAGAAATTACATTTAAATCCATATTGTTTTAACAAAGAAATAAAGTCAGATTTTTGTCTAGTTTGGCTACAGTCTTGTAAAATGTCAACATTAAAATCTCCTGTAATATATATGTTCTTGGTTTTTGTGGCCTTTGTTAAAAGTTTTAATAAGCTCTCTAATTTATAAAGAAAAAATTTAAAGTTTGCAACATGAGGTGTTCTGTAAACAGAAGCTACAATAATATTTAAACTTTCAATTTCAATACATGAAACTTCAAAGATTGATTCTTCATTGAAAACACACAAATCATGCCTTACACTATATTTCAAATTTGAGCTAATCAGTATACAAGAACCCCCATGGGTCCCTTCTTTTCTGCAATAAAAATGAGCTAGAGTGTAGTTTGGAAAACTGTTTAAAATGCCAATATTATCATTTTTAAGCCAATGTTCATTTAAACAGATAATTGATATGTTTGAATTTTCTAAAATTAATTCCAGTTCATTTCTTTTATTAATTATCCCTCCTTCAATATTTAAATGCATTAACCACACAAAATCTTTTTTACACATATCATTTTTACAAACAGGCCAGGGGTCGATTAGGTTATGCATGGAAGTATCTGTGTTAGAATTATGATAGCTATTACATATACACGACTCCTTAATTTCTATGGCTAAGTTAAATCTATTGTTGGACCTATTGTAATGTTTTTTTGTTGTGGATATGTTACTGATGGAGTAGGAGAGCAGATGTCGGAAGGATGTAAACTTGTGCCAATGTCAGTGGATGCCGATTCTTCAAGATTAAGTTCTTGTGATGCTTGATGAAGCCTTGCGCTTGCATTGTAATTATGGTCCGTGAACAATTCATCAAGACGCTTGAAAAGATCCATGTGTGAGAGTCCTCTTCTTAACACCCTGTTTGATTTTTCTTCTTTTAATAGAATGCAGATGGTCGCTTTTGTCGAGTTTTGAAATTGCATTATATTTTTGGCAAAATGCTCTGGCTGGATTTGATCCCTAATACACCCCATAGGTGAGCATATTAAGGTCTTCAGGTTCTTCGTTTTGAAATCCTTTGCAAGTTCTTCAAATGCCTTGTCATAATCATCTGGTGTTGGTTATGACAAGGCATTTGAAGAACTTGCAAAGGATTTCAAAACGAAGAACCTGAAGACCTTAATATGCTCACCTATGGGGTGTATTAGGGATCAAATCCAGCCAGAGCATTTTGCCAAAAATATAATGCAATTTCAATTTTTGGCAAATATAAAGGTGGCTGATAAATCTCTTACAAATGCAAAGGAAATTGCTGAATATTTTAACAACAAATTTATAAACATAACAAACCAAATTGGATTGTCCTCTTCTGAAAGTGAGGCGGTACAATTAACAATAAAGGCAATGGATGAAAGACAGACCCCTAAATTTGACTTTCAATTTATTGACGTGAAGGATGTTATTAAAATTATTAAATCTTTCAAAAATAAGAAATCATCAGGGTGGGACGAAATACCACTAAATTTGGTCAAAAATGCTTCTAAATTCATTGCAGAACCACTCTCTATAATTATAAATCAATCATTCCTCAATAGTAGTTTTCCTGAACACTTAAAATATGCTGAACTAAAACCTCTTTTCAAAAATGGAGAGAGACATAATCCAGACAATTATCGTCCAGTCTCACTTTTACCGACATTCTCTAAAGTTTTTGAAAAATGTGCTTCTTACCAAATGTCCTCTTTTATGGAAACCCACAATATTTTGTCTAACAAACAGTTTGGGTTTAGAAAGGGTCGAAGCACCATGAGAGCGCTCTCAGACTTTGTTGAGGAGGTGTCATGGGCCTTGGATGAGTCGCATAGCACAATGGGGGTGTTTTGTGACTTATCCAAGGCGTTTGACTGTGTCAATCATGATATCCTCATTAAAAAACTAGAGTCGTATCCCTTTTCTGGAAATTCAGTGTCATGGTTGAAATCTTACTTAAATAATCGCTATCAGAGAACAGTCATTTGTAAAGATAATTTAAAAGTAAAGTCAGAATGGCAAAAAATTAAAATAGGTGTGCCTCAAGGTTCGATTTTGGGACCTCTTCTATTTCTTATATATATCAATGATCTTCCAAAAAATGTTTCAAATAATCTAATTCTGTATGCAGATGATACTACTGCAGTAGTTAAAACAAAAAACAATGAGGGATTAAAACATAAAATTGAAGAAAGCCTAACCGAATTGGGGAAGTGGTTTGAGATCAATGGATTGAAAATGAATGAAGAGAAAACCAAATTTGTAAGATTTTGTACACCTCAATCAATGGCACTCACTGATCAATCTCAACCAACTGATGATAATGTAAAATTTTTAGGGCTATATATTGATAAACACTTGACCTGGAGTAAGTGCATTCAGTCGGTAATTGGAAAATTAAATTCAGCCTGTTTTCAAATGTTATGCTTAAGAAATTCTATAGACCTGAAAACTTCTGTCATGCTCTATTATGCTTACTTTTATTCAATAGTTCAGTATGGAATTGAATTTTGGGGGTTCGCCTCTGAAATTGAAAAAGTTTTTAAAATTCAAAAAAAATTTATAAGAATTATGACTTTTTTACCATGGAAATCTTCGTGCAAAACAGTTTTTAAAGAATTGAATATTATGACTATTCCAAATTTGATTATTTACAAAACATTGTTAGCGGTGCATTCAAATTTTGATGACTACATTAGCGAAAACTTTGACCACATATATAACACTAGATTTAAAAATAATTTCCAATATCCGAGACACCGACTGAAGCTTGTAGAAAAAACACCTAAATACATGGGAAAAAAACTTTTTAATAAACTACCCTCAACTCTAAAAAATGTAATTAATAATAAATCTTTTAAAAGCAGCCTTGCTGATTTTCTGATTAGCAAAACGTATTACAGTGTTAATGATTACCTCAATGAAACTAACCAATCAATATGACTCTATTTTGTATGACATAGAAACTAATTTTTTTTTCTGTCATCGTTTAACTCATTTTGCCAACTTGTTTACAAACATTTTTTATGCATAAGACACATTGTTGTACATTAGGTTAAGTTAGTAATAATTTTGACAATGTCATCTGTTTTTTAGCTGTGCTATGATTTAAAACGTTGATGTGACAATAAAGAATTATTTATTTATTTATTTGAGGAAGGCCCAGAAGAAGGTGGTTCGACGAGGTGAAACATGATGTGGAAGCAAGAGGAGTGCAATGTCAGTTTGTGGAGGAAGTGGAATTGTGGAGGAACAGAATAAGAACGGAGAGGCCTAGTGAACACCCAGTCCTGAAGATAATCGGACCGGGAGAGGATATGTATGTATGTATCTCCTGAAGAGTAAATATGGGGAGACAGAAAAGTTCTCTCAAATATCAATTTGACTCCTTTATTAAAATGAAATAGAAATAATTATGGCAGAAGAAATCGTTACTGAGATCAAGTACCTAGTTTGAGGGACCTAATTGTCACAAAATTCATATAGGGCCTACTTGAAAATTTTTAAGATATCATTTAAGCTGTCAGTAAAACCAATGTTTTAAAACTTACTCAAATAATTTTAAAAGTACTAATTGTTTGTAATTTATAAAGATACACGTGTTTACCAGAGTTGGTTTTGTTGTTCTCCTGTTTCTCGCTGAGCCTGTCCGTGATAGTAGGTTGTCGGAAGCTGCCAGTTCGAGTGAACGTGTTGTTGCTGGTGTCAAAGCTCATCGTCACACCACACTCCTTGTCTCGTCGCAGCTTGCGTTCCAAACAAGCGGCAAACGCACATCCCACAGCGTGACTTAGCCTCTCACCCTGTGTACAACCACAATGTTAAGATGACAGCTGTTGACTAAAAAATCTGACTTTTACAAGAGAAGTTGTCATATATTACTCCAAATATGGTGCCAAAACTAATTCACAAGCTAATACAAGTCAACTTATAATGTACTCTTTGACATGGCAATCAAAGTCAAGCCTTTAGCCCATTAGGCATTATACAAAAAAACAATTTTATTGAATACAAAACTTGAACTATGAAGAAATTGGCCAATGACTAACTCAACACATAGTCAAATTACCAAGTATTTTGGACTGTTAGTCAAATTATCAAGCACCAACTGTGGATTCTATTAAGTATTGGACTTACAGACTCCTTGAGTGCCAGGAACCCGTGGCACATCCAGCGCCGAGTGGTGCCATCCCTGCAAATGTAAGAGAACCCTTTATCATGGTTCCTGTCTGGCGCACAGAACGATACCTTCTCTATCGTCTGGTCCACTATCAGTCCCTGCAACATGGTGAATAAGTGATGAGTTCGATAATTGTAACTAAATACAATCCAATAACTTTGACTATATTAAATAACTATTTAATCATGAGTGATGAAATGTTGAATGCTGCAGACTGATTTTCCTTTCCTCAAGACATTATCTACCTGGTCACACTGTATCCCCATACAGTCATCTCACTAATCCAAACTCCGCTAGTATAAACTAAGCTAGTTCAAACCAGCTAAACTGATTTCTGCTAATCCGAACTTCGCCAATCCGAGTGGCACGTAAATCCAAACTACCTAGCAGTATTCTATTCGGTTGGTTCTCTTTAAAGATTGTGGTGTATTAAGAAGAACCCGATCGTAGAAAATTATCAGTGATGGGATGATAGAGGGAGGAATATATGGACATTAACAGTCATAAGAGATACATTGATAAAATTCTTTTCACAAAATCGTACTGCATAAAATACGGCAATATTGAACAGGGTCCTGTCGCAATTAGTTCGGGTTATCAGGACTCTAATATATGGGTCAGGTGATTATGTTAACACAAACAATGTCTATCACTGAAAAACAATTGGTTAAAATCTTTAAATGATTGACTGTAACCAATGAATACAATTTAAACAGTGAAATCTAACCCAAACGACAGCTATCTGGCTTCAATTGGGCTAATTAATGGAAAGTCTTTTTCCATGTCCATGAGACAAGGATTGATTATAAAACATAAGTAATTAAGTTAAAAAAACATTAACATTGCACGTTGTTTAACGTGTTAACCATTGGCGTTGTTTGCCATTGCTTCAAATAAACCAAGTTTATAAGATTATTTCCACTATCAATTTCATAAAAAGTCTTTTGTGACACTTTTTTATTACCTAGTAAGACCAATTGAAAAAAAAAAACACAATATAGTTTCATAAAAAATAGTTCTTCGAGGAACGCTACTTAAAAAAAAAAACTGTAGACAAAGGGATTTATTATGAGGTCATTTTAACTAATAAAATTTGTCGAATCTTCACAAATAATTATTTAACTTCATCTGTGAACCAACTAGTAGCCTAACTAATCTCAAAGCAGTTGAAACAATCAAAGTTATCACTGACAAGTTGCACAGGGAAACTTTTAGCTCAAAGACAGCTTTGAGACACAACTTGTATCTCATTACAACCGCAACAAGTAACTTCAGTTTTGTAATTACCACTTGCAAATCTCAGTGTGTTCTCTAAGATGCAACTAACTCAACCAGTACCTTGAGTAGAATCTCAATGTTTGTTGTTAAATTGTCTGGTGAACATTTCTTTGTGTATGCTTAATTCTAAATGTACTGTAATTAGCTAGTAATATACACAATGCTGCTTAGCTATTGTCACTTAAAACAACTCTGATCCCAGATGAATTTTATTTTTCATTAGGCTGTCAATTGATGATGTTTTTAACATAAGGTTAATGTTAAATAGTAACAAATACAGGGTTTAGATGGTTTGGACCTACATTGATAAATATTAAAAATGCAAATGGCATACAAAAAGATACAAATAACAAACACATAAACATTTATTTTTAGTTTGTTTAGTATTAGAGTTAAGTTTTTAAGATACAGACTTTTTAGCTAAAAACAGCAATTCTATCGAACTATTCTCGACCAATTTTTTGTTTTTGTCAACAAAACAAAGTGTTTAGTACAAAATCATTGGGGAAATCTTAATTGAAATTTAAATACTTAAATACAAAGAGTTTTGAAACCAATCATTCAGAGATAGTGTCTGGTGTGACTTGCATTACTTTATGAACTGTCTCTGAACTAAAGCATTAGTTAGCCAGTAAACTTAAGCAGGATTATAGAAGATGCTGTAGAGTGAGGATGGTTGTAGCAAAGCCAATATTTCAGGGTGATGAAGCCATCCCCTCTCTTCCCACCCTTATTTGTCCAGCCCAGGTGTTTCTGACATAATTCATTTTCAGTTTACCTTCAATTTTTACAGATTGGATTCTTCATATCTTACAACACCCATAATAAATCAACAAAAATTACATTGTCCAATGGTGTCGCAGTATTTTACGTGACTCGTAAATAAATTTTGTTTGACATTGAAATAGATCTTTTAAATTTTGTTGGGACATATTTTAATAATTTGTATCTTAGTACATTCTGGAAATTTGCCATGCAATTTAAGATGGGCTTTGAATCAGAATAACCTATTTGAATGACCGACTATTTTGTTGAGTATGCTCCGGTACAATTATATTTTATCCCTACGTTTTTAATAGTATTACATTGGTAATTATATTACTATCACCATTGAGTATAAACCTAACCCAATATAAGGTTAGGTTTATACTCAATGCTATCACCAACGTATAATATTACGTTGGTTCGTCCAACAAATCTTAGGTAGCCAAGATTTTTAATATAGCCTACCTAAGATTACAACGGAGATCTGTAATTCATAACAGTACACTCAGTTTAATATTACATTGGTTCGTCCAACAAATCTTAGGTAGCCAAGATTTTTAATATAGCCTACCTAAGATTACAACGGAGATCTGTAATTCATAAAAGTACACTCAGATCAATTTAACTCAATTTAACAACAATAAACAATAATTTATATTCTAAAACCTGGATACAGCATGGGTTTTGGTCTACTTCAATCCATAGTCAATGGTATAACACACATTGAAAAGTATCCAAGATTTTAAGAACTATTCCCAATGGAAATAACTGTTAAAGTTACATATTTAACAAATATATATATTCTAAGAAAGAATTTATATATTATGAAATTAATTATACTAATTGTTACTATTCTGACCTTAAACAAAGAGTGTGAGAGCATATATCTCTCTGAAAGTTATTAATATATGTTTCCAACCACTTTAAAAATCCAATTTCAAAGCTCAGTAAATCCTTCCAATTTGCAACAGTTTTGTCGAGTTTGAATAGAAGCTTTGTTAACATTTCCCACCATGTTTTTAGCCAAAGGCGAGGCTATATGAATTAATTGCTGGGATTGTACGACATGATCGATTTGCTTTATCCTTATTTCATTTGTTTTAAACTTGAATTTTAACTAAAGATAATTTTGAATCAAGTTTTGTCCATGTAATAATTACTAAGTTTGTACAGTATAACATTAGACCTACACATAGGCTTGAGTAGCGAGCTGGTCTAGTGGTAGAGTGTTGGGCTTCGGTTCCAAAGGTCCCAGGTTCAAATCCCGCCAATCACCAATGGATTTTATCCATGTGATAATGCCCCAACCCATTACAACTAGCCCTAAGTAATGTGTAAAGCAGTTCTGGGGGCTATAACTAGCGTCCTGGAATATGAAAGTGGGACAAAGAAAAAAAGACTAATGTAATTGGTTCTTTAGGGTTAAATATATTATAAAAAGGTACTCAAATAACATCATAGATTTAGGCCTTAATGGAATTATGTGATATAGTGATTGGTTTACCTTGGTTTCGTCTTCGACTACCCTTAGTCCATCACTTGACACATGAAGTAAAGCTTTGACAGGTCTCCGCCGAGAGTTCTGCAACATACAAACATTTCATACAACTCGTACATAGCAGAAATATATACAGAATTACAAGGTATAGGTTAAGAATACCTAAGATTGTAGAATGTAAACAAAACTAAAAAAATAATTTTGGCGGTGTTAATGATACCATGATACTAAGAATTTATAAAGTTTTCTTATTATAGACTGTTAATCTGTTCACAATCTAAAATTTGGGACTTATAATAGACTGTCACTGGATAATAGTGATACAAAATTATAATGATTTCTTATTTATTGAAATTTTCTTGTGCTTTTAAACATTTACTAGTTTAGCAACAGATTTTGTACGAAGGTTCAATAAACTATAAATAATTCAGCGTACTATTTATAACTTTCTGTTTAGTTTGAATGTTAAGTTGGGTGAGGGGTTGCTATTGTTTTTAATTTTTTTACATTGTATCTATCTACTATGCTAGTGGCATTTATCAACGGTTTTTGACACGGTCCCAACCTTTTGAAACATTAAACCTATGACATGGGTCATCAATTATGAATTAGCCATTTTCAAATTATTGTGTAGGTATATATTATCCTTTACAATATGTATATATTTTACAAGTCACCAAATACCTACTCAAAAGATAGGCCTATCACAGGAGATAAAACATTGTTCCCAAGAAGCAGAATGAAATCCACACGTGTGGATAAGCCAATGTCTGGGTAGAAAACAAGAGAAACCAGTCAAGACCGGTTTATCACCTGATCTCAGCTCTCGGCTACTTTTTGCACCATGCAAAGTTCTCAAACATATTGTATGTCTTGTGACTTTGTTTTCTTGTAGAGAAACTAAGAGATCTAAATATAGTTTTTCTAGAAGCTAAAAAGTTTCTTTGTGATCTAGTTTTGATTTCCATATGATATTTGGCCACCACATTTATGTGGGTTTTTATTATGGGGAAATGGACAAAAGACAAAACATTAAATTAGGTTTTCAATTCTTTGTGTTTCAAACATGGAAATTTCGTCATTTCATTTTTAGAATAGGACCCACTATGTGAACACAAATAAACTATTTTTTCCTAAAAAATTCACGTTTGGATAAGATTAAACAGATATTTAATAATAAGAAAAGAAATAAGAAAAAAATTATTGCAAAAATGATCAGAAACTTCACCAATTTAGGAGCTGTACAAATTTTGAACCAAAATATTGAAAATATAGATTGATCGAAATAAAAATTATACTGACGTTAAATGCTTGGTTCTTTTTCATAGACAAATACTAAAATTAACTTATGGCTTGAGTAAGTAAATAAAAAAGACAAAGCAAAAAGCACACCGTATAAACTTTAAACAGATAAAGGCCTGACAAAGTAGTAATTAAAGTTATCTTACAACGTAAAACCAAACTTTAAAATTTATCGAATGCTGACTCATAAATTTCAAGCTTCAAGGCAATTAAGATAAATTGAGTTGGGTCTTTGACTAATCGGATGGTTTTAGTTTCACACAAGCTATTAGACTGTTGTTAAACTTACCCGTAAAACTTTAAGCGCTTCTTCGCACACAGGCATTCCCCTTGACTCAAAAACTTCAACACATCCGAGATACTGAAACAGATAATATAGTAAATTAAAAAGTTATCAAAGATTTTACTAAAATTGTTCTAAAAAAATGCATACCTATAATCTAAGGTGTAAGTTGTACACAGTACACATCTCAATATTGGACAGTCAAAGCTAAATATTACGATATTACATATTTGTTGAAAAAATAACAACTGAGTAATAATTCCTCTCAAACAGATTTCGTTACTACAGTAAACCTAATAATAGTCATGTTTCCAGAAACATTGATTTTGGCGTCCACTGTCAACAATTGGTGTTTTGTAACAATGTGAATCAACAAATCCCATTATGTTTGACTGTTGGATACAAAGCGTTACTAAGTTACATGGTTAACCGTGCAATGTAATCCTTTACATGGCACATCGTAGAGTACACAAACACCTCTCTAGAGTCAGGTGGTTTGATGTCTCTTGCTCTTTAACATAACTAACGTCCACGAGTGTAAATAATTCATGAAAAGACTTGGTCCTCGCTGCTACAGTGTTTGTGATGTGGCTTGAATTTAACGATGTGCAAGTTTCCAGCGTAAACTTTTGTTTGATCTTGTTCACTGAAAGATCCAAAGCTTTGTGCTATTGTGAATCTATGAATTATTGGAATTTAGTATTATCAAGTCAGACCATGTACATAGCAGATTAAAAATAAAATATAGTTTAAATTGAACAGAAAACAGGGACATTACTTTACTAACATTTAAACCTCGACTCTGGTTAGTCTGCCAATAGGTAAAGTTAACCATAATTCATTTGATAATGCAGATACTCATTGATGTTATCCCCTGTGTTACTCAAAATACATTAAACTATGTTAAGCTTCCAGTAATTGACCAAATCTTTACTAGTGAGATGGAGATAGCAAAAGATTGCATTACTTTATATTGTATAGATAACCAAACAAAAGAATAAGATACTTTAAAGCCAAACAGGATGAATAAAATGATATTTTGTGTAGAAAACTATGTCTGTTGGAGTAACCTAGGTCCAGTCATCGCTAGTGTATGACTTCTGGAACCTTAACCAGTTGGTCTCGTTATTACTACACTATGCATGGCAAGTATCAGTGCCTACCTTGACATGGAACTGGCAAGTGCCTGCCTTCACAGCCGACTCATCTGCCTGCCACTGATGAGGCTTGGAGCTCTCGGGAACGTGGTCCTTGCGGCGGCGGAAACTGTCACGGAAACTCCGCCGCAGTCGGTCCATCCTACGAGGGGAGCGGCCCTGTAACAAACAGACAACGTCAGCTTACAACAATCAGTGGTAGATGTAGTATCACAGAATAAAGAGTTGTTACTCTAAACTCTAAACAAAAGAACAATATATTCAAAGAAGAATACAGAATTAGAGACAGCACACACGTTTTTTTGAAACAACAGCGCTATTATTTGTTTTTTGATTAACAATCATATTTTCATATTTTCAACACTTTCCTCTACCAATGCAATAGAGCTGTATCAGCTGATAATAAGACAGATGACAACCCTGAGACTACATCAGTATGTAATGTGTCATGTAATGTAATGTGTTCAGTATGCTTCCAGTGATGTCCTGGTGCTCACAATATGCACTGTGCAGTTGATAGACCTGTCTCCTGTCTGTGATATTTTCTTCTTGTTGTTAGGTGTATAATGTGTTTGTATTTAACTTATCCTGACAACAGCTTAAAAATTTAATTTATTTGTCGAAGACCTTAGAAGAGTTAAAACAACCACGATGGAATGTTTAATTTAATACTTATACTACATCTGACGAAGTATACATAATATTTACCATCCCATCTCACAAAACCATAAGGCTATACGAAAAAATATCCTGTAGAATAATTTGGAATAATTTAGAATGGTGTTTAGATGGTTCATGAACCAAATAGTTAGAAATCAGAGCTTATTGGAAAAGTTACTGAGGCTGTCTCAAAGATGGCTTCCGAGAAACTCAATATCATTACAAGGTGTTCTTATTAATGTATTCAGGAAACTTGATACCTTTGTGAAAATTCCTAGAGATATATGTGGGATATTTGACAAAATAATTTTTGAGAAAATAAGTGAAAAAAAAAATTGGATGAAAATTCAATTTAAAGGGCAGGCCCTAATTTTGAGAAAAGAAACAAAAGAAAAGTCATTGAGGATTACCAAAGATTCCTCCAAAAACCTTATATCAAAATGAGGCTCTCTCTACGGATATATATTAAAGACACTTTATACCATTATACAAATTTAAAAAATGCAACCAGGGAACTTAATACCTTTGTGAAGATTCTTAATGATGATCCAGGAAAAGAAACTCAATACTTTCTCAACAGCTTCGTTGAAAATGTTTCGGAAAGTAAGTAAGCCATTAAACAGTTTAAAATTTTCAAAATGAAAGATACAAAAACTGTTTCTAAAGAAAGAACTTCACCGCCTTCATCAGATTAAAATAAACAATATTAATGTGTATCTCAAATTAAAATCTATTCTTGATATTTTCAAAGAAAATCTGTTAATTATAGAAATTTATCATGTCTGGATCTGTTGTATCAAAGCATTAAACATGCTCAACACAAACACATGTCCAACACAAAACTCAATTTGCCTTTAACTACACTAAGTGCCATCATAGGTCCAACACTAAAAGCCTGTTGAAGATATAATTCCCTTGAAATCCAATTTACTTGGAAGCACGGTTTGAGTGAAGAAGAGCAAAGTAAATAATGATTTGGGATGGATAATATTGAATCCCTCGAAAAAAAACTTGCTAAGCTGATTAAATATTATAATTGTATTTATTTTTATTTTTTACAAAACAATGAAATGAATCTCATCTCAAACAGAATAAAGTGTCAGATACAACATGATCTAATTTGAATATTGTTTCAATGAAATTACTATTTTACCAAATAGTTCAAATGATTTAGAGAAGTAGAATGAACAGGGGCGATTGACTGATTGAATTGGGCAGTTTTCCGCACTATGTCACAGAAAACGTATAGCCTATAGTCAAAGGTAATAGTAACTGAATTTAAGAAATAAAATCATACTATTCAAAACGTATACTTTACTATCAAAATACCTTTTTTTAATCTCGCAATATTCCTAAATAACCTATAACCTATGCAAATTTAATTTACCTTCTGATAGTATTGTTTAAAATTGAAAAACGTAATTTGTAACTTGAGCATGGAATGAAGCCAATAAAGGAACATTCAGTGAACCTTGGTAAATGGGGTAATGGACTTGGTATCGATGCCAACTTTAGATGGCTTCATAGCATCAACAGCCAATAATGGGTATTGCTTCTGCCATTCTTGGACACAAACACCATGGAGTCCTTTCATACAGATTTGTCCTTGATTGTAATCTTATTTAAAGTCACTTAAATGAAAATTTAAAGGGAATATCATGTAGCTAATTAAGAGAGGTTGTGTAAGAAAAGGGATGGAGTTAGCCTTGTTTACAAAGTGTGTTCTTTTAGTAAAGTATTAATAGCTTAGTATAAAATAAAGAATTTGGCCAGGTTTGATTAACATATCCAGAAATAAACACAAACTACAACAGTTAACTTATTCTCCATAAAAATATCATAAGAATTTGAATTCCAATTTTTTTTTGAATTTTTCCTTTACTAAAAACCGTACAAAAACACACTACAAAACCCTCCCACTCCCACATTTATATTTGTATTGTATATATATTGTATTGTGTATTTTGTATTGTTTATATTTGTATATATTAGTATTGGTATTTGTATTGGAAAATTTGGTGTTTTGAGGGTCAAAAATGAGAAAAACCCAATCTTGACCCCATAAACCCCCCCCCCCCCCCCCCGTAAAACCCGCGAACTCATTCAAGTTTATCCCGCCTTACACCTTTAAACCAAATTTTTTCATCAAAATCGGGCAAATAAATTAAAAAGAAAAATCAATCCCGGGCCTAGGTCTTAGCTACTTAAATACTTAAAAAACCGTGCCACCTACGGTACGGTAATAGCTACTTCCCTATAGACTATAGGGAAATTCGCTAAAAAGAAAAACCGGACTAGTCATGTTGAGTAAATATGGTACCGGTATCAAGAGAAATATTTTATAATTTTATCACTGGTTTATGGAACATTAAATACCTAAGCAGAATAGTCAGAGACAAAAGAAGCCTTCTGCAAGATACCTTGTAATATTTCAAGGTGTTTCTGTCAGACTTAAGCTGCAGACAAAAGATAAGAAACAGTCTTATCCTGACCCTACATATGTCTTGGACTTGGCTTACCTTGCAATATTTTGAAAACTACACAAAAATTCTGTATATTTTGTCAAGTTTATTTCTATTCCTTTATCTTATAACGTCGGTTTTAGTTCATTTCATTCCATCCACACATGAGAGTCTAAAGAAACTTTGATCATTATAGGCCTACTATTTAATTTGAGAGTTTTTTTTTTATCCAAGCAAGACACAGCGGGGAATTGGTTAAATATACATGGGCTATAATTTATTTCCATTAGGCAGGCTAGGTTATTTTAGCAATCAATCACAGTTATTCAGTCAACTACTTCTGGAAAGAGTATGTTTTAATTTAACAGATTTACAAGCTGCAAATACAAACAAGAAATAAATAATTTTACAGACGTAATACTGGGTCTATAAATAAAAAACATTGATTATCATTGTTATACAGTTTCCAAAATAATTCAGGATAAATTTACGAATGGGCCATGTGGCTCTAACAAAATTGTCTGAATGAATAAATATTTTTTATTTAATTTCAAAATATAAATCAAGTTTGCCACAAACAGTATTGTGACATAGATATGTATAAGTACATGTTTACTAACCTGTCTGAATGGTATTTTTCTAAACCAAATTTGCTAAGGTTTCTTCAACAAAAAATAAATTGATGAGTTATATGGTAACTTTAATAAGGTATTCAAAGTTATAAAAACATTTTCTGAAAAATGCTATGAACAACTGTAATTTTTCTATAAATCTTGTAGAAGATCACAAAATTTAAGCACAGATCAACTTTAAAGTATGGAACCATTAAATCATTTCTAACTAATTTAAATTCAACTTTTCAAATCAGAAATCAGAAACTTTTTATTGTCGTAATTTGCAAGGTACATGCATATGACAAAGTCAACAATGAGGTCCAAGTTCCACCAAGAAAAGAAAACTAATAGACAAAAGATTTTTGTCTGGGCAGTCACAATAGATCAAAAATAAAAAAAATCTATCCATGCAAGCATTGAGCCTATCAGAAAAAATGACAGTAAAAGGTCAAAAATATTCAAACAGATCATATGGGCATACTCAACATGCAAATAAATAAATAGAGACTTACAGGCATTGAGTAACGTTGACATGACAAAATTTCATGCTACTAATCAACTAATCAATAATACTAATCAAACTAATCAAGAGGATAATATATATATTGTTTTTCAAAATAACACTGACAAAAATCCAGCCCCATAGTGATTGCAAAGAGAGGGAAACTTTAACCACCCTTTTATGTTTAAAATCTTTAAATCCGCCGTTAAAAAAATGTCCAAAGTACTAAAGAGAATACAAGTTTAGAAAATGGTAGACCATATAAATAAAAAGGTTCACACCAATGAGATCAATAATATTTTACAACAAAAACTCTGCAAATGAAGTGCAAACAAACAAATTAACAAATGCTTTCTAAAAATAGTTCTGTTTTAAAATAGAAGGTTGCTCATTGAGATTCAACCATGTCTTACCGACTCATTAATAATTCATAAAGTATCCTTGTTGGAATCTGTCCCTGAGGACATTGAATTTGTTCATTGAAATTATTTTCATAAGACGTAAATTAGAAAAGTATTTTTGCCATTAAATTTAAGTTTTTTACACTGTTGTAAATCAAGCAAAACATTTCAGTTAATACAGAGCAAACATTTGAGTAATGAGAGGAAGGTAAAATTAAAAGTTAACTTTTCTGTAACTTCTTAGAATCAGACATATTTGTTCTGCTTTTATATGTCCAACAAATATTGATTTAGGCCTATTATTCTGAATGATGGCATTGAATTGGAAAACATACAGAAGTATGTAGAAATATATGTCTCTAGCGCGGTTAAATGAGTTTTTTGAGATATTTCTCAACACATCCAATAAAAAAAATTTGTAAATTGAGAAAAAGCGTACAACATACAACAATAATATATTTGTACGTAAATAAGATACATAAGGATTTCATTGACACAATTAACTTCATTGCCAAAATTA